TTGCAGGGGATATAACTATCTCAATATCTATCAAGATATATAACGTTGTTACTGATATTCCGTGTGCCCGGAAATCGGCCAAGGTTTGCTTATTATGATGAAGCCCAGCTCAGAGCGAAAAGCGATCATGCAATAAGACAGACCTACGCTGAGATGAGCATCTCTGTTTTCTAGATTTACATGTACAAGTCAGACAAGATCTACAAGCTATTGGTATGCGAAAGATTCAGAAGAAACTTGTGCAAGAATAGTGTACTTTGATACGGTAAATCACTAAAAGGTTTTTCAAATATGTCATCGAGTTACAATTGGTTGAATATTTTGGCACGCCCAGTAGCTTGTTAGCGAATACAAGCCCGCTACGAGGGAACGTGCTGCTCGTGATTACTACATTAACTTTAACTATAACCCCATTCGCATGAACGCAGGGCTCTTGAGTAAAGGTTAAGCAGACGACCTCTCCTCGAAATGCCGCTGATTCCGAGGAACGTGGGCGAATAAACACAACTTGAAGTTGACATTGCCATAGATCAAACCAAGCTTCAGCGAAGGTGTATTTTTAGATACACTTTGAGGTGTTTACACCTGGATTGCAAATAACCAGGGCAGTGGAAATATAGGGACATATAAAATATATTATGGAAGAGAGGCAATCTGGGGAATGAATGATGAAAAGGTTAGAAAAAAACAAGATAGATGAATCGAAATGTTATGAAGCAAAGGTTATATATATAGTGATGCATACGTGTGGATTGCTGTTATGTAATTAAATGAATAAACAAGAGTTGCGAGACTCTCTCTCTTCCAAAGAGAGAAAGAGAGAGAGAAAAAGAGGGAAATCTCGACATCCAACTGACACTAACGTTTTCGATTAGAGTACAAGTTTACAGTTCTGACGAAGCTACTCGTCTTCCAAAAATTAACAAGCACACTGTATTGCTTCTCAGTTACTCAATACAACATTGATAACTACCCGTTAACCGTCTTCGCTCAGGTAGATACGCACTTTAAAATCGTTAATGTGAATCATCTTCTCATTTTCGAGAAATATCCACCTACAGAAATGTACAGACTATTCTAATTAACTCCCGTAAATCTAAACTGTCTGTATCTTTTTCTGAGATATTTTCGGCCCAGCCCTTTTAGTATGGGCAATATGTCTAGAATAACGCGTACGGAAAGTATGTTGAGTATGAATATATAGGATAAGTCACATTGTATTATTACAGGTAGAATGACATTATCAATTCTTTTTGATCCAGGCCTCCGTTGTGGTTTGCTCCCCATATATATATATATATATATATATATATATATATATATTACGTTACTTGGATCGCCTTATACAACACTCAATCCACCTTGTTTCGAATTAATCGCTGATTCCTTCACTTCCAAAAATGACATGAAAGGGTGGTCGTATAGTGTAAAGATTGGGTATTCGAAAACTTACAAGTTTTATACATATTTTACTTCTTTTACATACACCCAGAGGACATCCAAGAGGGGTCCTCAATAATTTATTTCATCACTCTGGATAATGAACTGGGCCTTACTCCGCCCAACTGAAGGTAGTTAACTGGCGAGGATGAACTTGTTTTCGCACAAATATTTCCGGCGCACAAGAGTTTGAGCCAACGTAAACACGCCACACCCTTGATATATGTGTCTTCTCAGAGGAACGGAGGATTATATACAGAACAAGTTAAGAACCATTTCCTAACACATGAAATCAACCTGTATATTCCTGTAAAATCATTCACAGTTTGCAAATGTTTCAAATCCTTTAACAAAAGTAAAATGTTCGTTTGCTGGATAAATGTAGAAAGAGAATATCACGCAAAACGTAACAGACATACAATAAATTTTTTCTTACCTTTTGGATGTAAAGTGGTAACCCAAACTCCACTCCCCCTTGCATCCGGAATCCCCAGGGGTGGTGGGTCTGTTTGCGGCGGAGACGGACCTCTGAAACTCCCGGTGGGTACTGTACATGTGACATGGCGACTAAAAAACCACTTTCTTCTGGTTACGAATACCAAATTGAAAATACTTTGTTCCTAGATGTTCAGTAGAGTTATTTGAATCCTCCTAGCTTGAAGAGCCGGAGACGGAGAGGAATTTAACAATCTTCTCAAAGTTGATGCCCTCTGAAATGTAGGCTATGCACCTCTTGGTTCTCAGCACAAAGACGAAGACTCCGTATTAAATGCCGGGAGAGATCAGGCACCTTTACCTGGATTAAAGATAATTTAAAAGCTGCGATCACCCGTCTTTTCCTATTTCAGCTCAGGTCAGCTAAAGTAACATTTAACAGCGGAGTGAAACAAAAATTTACGAAAGTGACGAAGGTACTTGGAGCAGAAAGAACATGTGTTGGTCGAAACTTAAATGCCAACTTTTGTAAATGTTTACTATATGTGATTAAAAGCAGCAATGACATATAATTGAGTTGGAGGCCGCAAAATGCACCAACCACAGTAAACCAGTAAGTAACGCTTCATATCCGACCTGAATAAAACGGCTATACTTCAAATATCACAAGTAAACAACCGAAATCAGTTTTGCCAATTATTTTCATTTACGTCTTGTGTATTATTTTATGTATTTCGTTTGTTATCAGGTATTTTTCCATTAATTGTTAGAAACAAGATAAATTGAGTAAGTCAGAAGGTGATAGAAAACAGAATATGGCTCTACCTGTACAAGTCCGCTTCTATCCACAGCTTCTCTCCGAAGACTTCTTATTACTTTCCGAAAATTAAATCAGATCGGCGCATGGGTGGAAAGTCTTTTGGCAAAGAGTTTGAAAATGTTAGCTATTGCAAGCAGGTGAACGGAGAAGAGGAACTGTTATTAGTCACTTGGAATGAGTTAGACCTCGTTATCCCGCTGATGAATGTTCGGGAAAAATAAATTAACCACCGGGAAGGATTCAGGGGAATTTTCTAGTGATTTTCTAGCTTGTTTTTTGTAACCAGTATGGCCAAGATCTTTGCAAAANGTTTCCGAAAATTAAATCAGATCGGCGCATGGGTGGAAAGTCTTTTGGCAAAGAGTTTGAAAATGTTAGCTATCGCAAGCAGGTGAACGGAGAAGAGGAACTGTTATTAGTCACTTGGAATGAGTTAGACCTCGTTATCCCGCTGATGAATGTTCGGGAAAAATAAATTAACCACCGGGAAGGATTCAGGAGAATTTTCTAGTGATTTTCTAGCTTGTTTTTTGTGACTAGTATGGTCAAGGAACTTTGCAAAACAGATTCTAAAGAGCCCCATTCGGTAAACTTAGATTTTGTTTATTATATTATTTTATCTATTACTGGTTTATAAAGGTATAACAATAGGATAGGGCATTTCACCTGAATTTTCCATAGCGTGGTATTAGTAGACATGAGCTCCAATACCTTTTTGTGTAGGGGATAACATAAAAACTGGCATTTATATACTCATTAAAATATATATCGATTTTTTTTTTAAATCTGCAACGCAGTACTATAGGTCGTAGAATTATCTCCTAACATTTTGCAAGCCGAGGCCAAGTTTCGCCGCAGGTTCTACATGTATGGGGTCCATTCTTTAGTTTGTTTTAATGGAATCATCCGAATTAGCCCAAAGTCTCGAGACTTCTACCGAGATTTCGCGGGATTTTGGAGGAGAGTAGTGTCAGAAATATGAATGACAGACAGCGAGTGCGTTGACGAATAAAAGCTGACGGAACTTATCCATGGATATATTTCTGGGTTGTTTACTCATAAGTTGTGTCAAATTACAGTCTACTGCACAACAGTACAAACCGTCATGTCTGGATGTCACTTTTGTATTGCTTTCTAAAAAGGCATACCCGGCATATAGAATTCCACACTTATCTCTAAAATCAAAAAAGCTTACCCCACCAAACATTTTCTTATTTCCTATAACGTCACGCATTGCTTAAGGTCTCTAGTTTTAGATTGACATAGTTGCAATAGTGCGGGGCACAATCCAAAACATAACCCAGCGATTAAAACATTTTAAAACATCAGGTATACAATCTACAATTATATTATGTAATCCAAAGGTATCTTTAGCAGTAAATTTATTTGCAACGTTTCGTCATTACAGGATATAGTTGAATGCACACAACAGGGTCGATGTTCGTATGGAGTTGGCAGATATACCTGTACTGGTCTGTCACAGACAGAGACGACATTTTTTTTATCATATTTATTATATTATATTATTTATTGAGGGTTAAAATAACAACAACAACAACAACAACAAAGCAATCGGACTGAACAATTCACCCGAGTTGCCCTTACCGAAATTTACACGACTACATCGCTTACTGAAACAAACGATCTGCGATGTATATATATCATAGCTATCGAGGCCATTTAATCTTAGAATAAATTTGAGAAAATTGGTCTCATATATAACCATTGGAATATTCTTGTCATCATTGCATTGAATTGATTATATTTTAACCTCACAAAGCATTGCAGGGACAGGATAAAAGAAAAATAGTGACCTCGAAGTGAGACCAGATATTTATTTTTTTGAAAATAGTTGTGGTTTTTACTTAAAGGGGCGTTTTTAAATGGGTACAGTTATTCAAATCAACAAATTTGGTTTATCATTTTTAATTTTTATCTGAAAAAATGTAGTGCTTGGTCTTATCATGAAAGTACACTATACAAATGACACTGCAAAACGAATAAAATTGCCTCCCAAAAACGGACTTGGGGGATATTACTTTCATCTTTTCGCTTGACTAATGAATACATTAGGCCTTTAGTATGGGCGATCATGGTTTCGTGGTTTCAAAATGACGCAAATTTATCTGAATTGTCGGACACAGATTACCAACATATCATTTTTAACATATCATCTCCGTTCCCTCTCGCTGGGAAATGTTCTCGTCGAGCCTATATAAGTCGGCTCCTCGGTACGGTTGGAAACTATTGCCCACTTCAGTTTAATGCTATTTAAAAAGTTCCAAAACAAAACAGAAGATAAAAGATGAAGATTGGTGTACGGGAGGTGAGTTTTTAAAGTTTTTTTAAACGCCTGGGTAGTAAAACTTAAACGTGTAAATAATGTTATTTTGTTCCCGTTAGAATATATAATGCAATAAAGAAAGAAAGACAGAAAAAAGTGTATTTTCCCCGCTATAAGACACATTAGATAGAAATATGAATACGTCTAAAAATTCGATTCGTATTTGAAAGAAATTGAATTTTGATCCTCAGCTGTCATTTTTGAACTGTTTGAGAAATCTGCTTACGTTAAGCTCATTATTATTTCACCAGGTTTGCTTGTTCTTGCTGATCATAATATGCTCATGGGATCTAGTCAATGCAGGTAAAACTACCCCTTAATTATGATTAATTTGCAAACTATTATTTCGCAAACTTTATTTTCCAATTATGTCGTCAAATTTTACTTTTCCTTTGGAAAGTTGACCTCTCAGTAAAAATAAGTAAATAAAAGGAAGATACGTGAAAAAGAAGTAGGAGCGGTTCAAGTCCCCGACGTCTTGAGAGATTAAGATGCCTAGATGAAACTCTGCAATACCGTTGCAAATGTGAAGAATAGAAACCGTTTCCATAAGAACATTTTCAATTTAAATTCATTGATATATAAGCGTAATTATGGCCATACACTCGTCGTCATATATGACGATTTTGTTTTTCACGGTCAGCTCCAAAAAAGATCGTCTGCTACTACACCAACTGGGCCCAGTATCGTACAGGCATTGGCCGGTACACTCCGGATGACATTCAGCCCGGTCTGTGTACACACATCATCTTTGCCTTCGCCAAGGTGGCCCAGGACCCGGAGACCAAAGAGTATACTCAACTCCTTAACTTTGAGTGGAACGACCTGGGTAAGTAAATCTTCCAATTAATGCTATTGCTTCCATAAAGGAATCATCATCACAAAAAAATTACATGAAAATAAATATAACTGATTCATACAACTGGTTTCTATACATAAGCTTGACAATAACAAAGTTGAGTTTCCAAATATCTATTTCTAGCATTTTTTATATCAAACCAGTTCAAGTGAATTTAAACTGCTTGGTGTTGTTCGAAATACTCTTTTTTTTTTAAATCAAGTTATGCTAATTTTTCCTGTTTGTCGTAGCCATGTACAAGAGGGTGACAGCTCTTAAGTCCCCCGGGGTCAAAGTTCTCCTTGCCGTAGGGGGGTGGACCCACGGAGTGTGGTTATTTAATCAAATGGCAAGCAAGAAATCAACCAGAAAAACATTTATCAAAAACGCAATCGCTTTTCTCCGTAAGCACAATTTTGATGGTCTCGATTACGACTGGGAGTATCCGAAAGGTGACTCGAAAGAGAAATTTGCGGCGTTAGTTCAGGTAAAAATTATGTTATGGGTAACTTAGAGAAAAAAGATTAAAGTAAAATCTGGTTTCAAAAATGTATTGGCCGGTAAACGCTCTGACAATATAGTTTAAGGTTGATGGATATCGATTAACGGTGAATTTAAGTGAAAAAGCTTATTTGAGATATATGTAACATGGATAAAAATAATTATGTTGATATCTTGTTACTGCGTAATGCATGGAAAAAACGGACAACAAATATAGTAAGTGACAGTTCTGAGAAAACCGTAGAAATATAAGTCGTTTTCATCCAATTTGTCGAAATACCAAGATGATTTTTTCTGCAGGAAACTCGCAAGTTCTTCGAAGAGGAAGGCCAAGACCAGAATAAAGAGCGACTTTTAGTCAGCGCTGCCATGGCGCCATTGTTGGATGTTATAGATGACGGATACGATATACCACTTTTGGCAGAGTAAGAATCCCCCCTTTTTTTATTTTGCAATTGTTATTAAAAAAAAAGTATGATCCAATAACGATTCAATGATGCAAAAAAATATAAAAAATGGAAAAATGTAATCACGCCCGAACAGGGACTCGAACCCTGGACCCTCAGATAACTTGATCATCCGTAAAAGTCTGATGCTCTACCGACTGAGCTATCCGGGCGACATGCAGGGTATTGGGTTAAAGGTTTGATATAAATAAAACTACTGCTGGCCTCCTTTTAAAAGGGTTTAACTTTAATTTCGGTCATTATAAACATAATAATTTATAAGATTTTTTTGTCCATTGAGCTCAAGCCTTTTATCAACTAATTAGACGCACACAAAAGCCTAAATTTCGATTTTACACTGTGTGTACGAGATCTCGTTAAAGAAACGTGACTTACACCCGGATTATCGTTCTCTTAGTTTCCACATGATAATAAAGATAACGTTTCATTCATTATTCAATAATATTATAATGTATTACGCCATGTTCATTCATGACTTGACACGGTTCCTCTCAACTCGTGCATTGATATCTGTTTGATATTTTGTGACACACTGAAATAAGTTGTCATAACGGGCACCTTGTGCAGATCTGTAGGCCTACGTAGGCCCTACATGTAGTACGTAGGCAACATGTACAGTGTAGGCCTATTGCAGGTAGGCCTACTGTAGATGAACATTTCGAAAATCTGTCCACCTACGGTGTAGGCCTATATGTATATGCCACAAGGTCCTATATAGGGCCTCCTGGGGTGCCTAGGTCTACTACATCTCCTTTGCCTCTTTTTATTTATTTTCATATTGTAGGCCTATGCCTAATTAATTTACTGATATTCAACATCTCCTACATCTGCGTAGGATCATTTCCATGGCCTACGAATAATAAGATGACAGTTTATTCAGCCTTTGATAGATAAATGAAATTCACATATAACAGAAATTGGATTGTTATTCGGGTAAAGTGAATAAATTTAGTATAAGAAAACAATATAGGGCCTAGTTTCTAAGATATAGTTGCTAATTATTATTATTATTTTTTTTTTTTGTTATTGAAATGAGCACCAGCAGATGGATAGGGCATAAAAACTCTTTAAAAACCTTTTGGGTCCTTTAAAACTTAAAAGTCTACAGTTACTCGGAAAGACAAGAATGTCCGACCACTAGGTAAAATTCAGCCGTAAATCCCGTAAATCATCCTAAAATATACATGTAGGCGATACCTGTAACCTATTCTTCGGGTACTTGAAGGCAAGCAGTAGGCTACCGAGGTATGCCAAGCCTTCCTGTGCCTCGAACACAATTGTCATCCATTACATTTAATTAACTAATTCCATTTTTATTTCCATAAGATAACATTTTAAACGAAAGTTGAAATGTAGCGAAACACGAAAAACG